ATAGTCTTATTATAGGCAGTAAAGAAGGTATAATTAAAAATGTCTAAGTAAAGGGTAGTAGCGCTAGGCTTAGTAATACTATTTAAACTATTACTAAGGCTAAAGGCAGTACTAGTAAAAGCAGGTCTTAAGTAAGTAGCGGTAGTGCTAGTAGCGCTAGTGCTAGCAGCGCCAGTATAGCCTATACTATTGCTAAGGCTAGAAGCTATTATATAGTAGTATTTGAATGCATAAAACAATCGTTAGCAGCAGCGTTTTATGCCTATATTTTATCTTTTAAGGACTAAAGACAAGCCTTCTAATCTAATAGTCGGCTAAGGTGCTCTGAAAGCTAGCCTAAGAGCTAAGAACTAAAGAACCTAATAACTCCGATTATAACGTCGCTATCGCCTTCGTTGCTAGGTCTAAGAGTCTTAGGCTTAGCGGCGGCAGCAGCTTTCTTAGGCGGTATAACGGTAGAGAGAAGGGGGGTAAATAAATTATAAGGATGCAGAAAATTTGTATAAATTTAGAAAAAATCGTATAAATGTCGGATTTGCTAGAAAAAAAGCAGCAAATTCGTCTCTTGCTAATTAAAGCAGTAAATCCTATATCTAGTAGATACTAGTATAAAAAATCAATTTTTGTGGCTTTTACTCTGTGTACTACTAGTCTGCCGCGCAGGTTCTACGCAAGCACCAGTGTAAGACCCGTACGTTAATCCTTATAGAATATTCGTCCGGACCAGTTGCACGTATCGTAGTAAGCTCTAAGGCCTTCAGAAGATCTAGTGATGATATTTCGTTGGGTGGTTGACTAAAGCTCTAGACTGTGCGCGATGTGCGTTCAGTCAGGGCTTCGTCTTATCTAGTGATTTCGGCGGCCGAGGTCAGGTGACCTCGGGAAATCCACAATTTGGCAAAAAATGGGTCGGATTAAACAGAGCTAATTAATCTACTCAGAGACCCGCCTATTTACGGCTGTTTGCCCCATGCTGCCGCTCAGCTTCTCCTTCTGACAAAAGTTGAGATGTTGGTTCACGTTTCGGGGGTTCATGGACTTTAGGAGCCGGACCGTCAGTAGGAGTATATCCTGGCTCGTGAACTAGACGGCCAAGAGCCGACCTGCTAGAACTGTAATAGGACGAGGAGCGCAGCGGCCGCCCGGCTGTCGAGTTATATGTATAGCTGCTAAGACTAACGGCTGGTCCTTGCGATCCTACTCTTCTCTCTTGCTCACTGAATATGGATTCATTCAGGCCGTCGGTATCGTATGTTCTGGACTCGGGAACTCGGGCTTCATGGCTGCCGTCTTGGTCTCGACCTGTGACACTATCGGTAGTATATACCGAAGCAGATAAATTTCCCGAGTCCGCAGAATCAAGGTTACTGCCGTATGTGACTAACGAGTTTTCTGGTTCCGAGATAGAAACAGGGCCTGTGAAGAAAGAAGGACTGCTACATGTCGATTTGAAGAATAGGACATTGTTTCTAGTAGTCGACTGGTGCACAGAGCTGAGCGCTCTCTTAGTAGTAAATTTCTGTAAGTGTTCGATTTGGTCCGTCTCTGTGGTGGTGGCATTCGGGTGAAAAGATGAAGTTGCCGCTACTTCCGTGTCGTCGGCAATTTCCGAACGAACTGCCAGTGGGACCGAACCTTCCTGTGAGTACTCGCCTTCTTGCGAATAGACAGTAACATATTTTAAGGGCCCTGATTGCGGCATCTTGGCTCGGCCCTCCCATGAGAATGATATTTCTTCTTCGTTCGTGACTGAATAAAACCCATTACCGCAATTTTCTGGCACGTAATTGCTATAGTCGCTATTGAAGCTGTTGCTCCATGCTGAAGGGCCGTCGTAGCAAGACTTGCTTTCATGAGGGAGCAAATCTCCTGCCCTGTAAAAGCCTGTGTTGAAGCCATGCGATCCTACATAACTCGTCCCGGACGCAACGGCAGACCGCTGCGCCAAAGCTCTAGCCGCCATGGTATTGTAGTCGAACTCGTTGTTGTTCCCACTGTTGTGCGCCTCTCCCTTTATAGGTGTTTCTCGAGATGACACCTGAAGATTATAAGAAATCAAGGCAATAACGCAAACAAAGGCTGTGACAGTCTTGAAATGTTATCTTACTCTAAGAAAGAGGCATTGGGTGATTCCAGCATTTTGGCAATTCGAACAGGGCATGTTCTGACCCAAATCGCCACTGCAACGGATTTTCCTCTGGCGACAACGCCCGCACTAAAAACATCAAGAGATGAGAAAATATCCAAACCATCAGTTGGCAGTTACCTAAAGATATGACCGGAGGAAATGCCTCTGGGAGGGGGTTACTAGAGGCGTAAAGACGAGACTATGACATACGGCAACAGCAATCCTTTTTCTAGCTGGAGTATCCGAAACTTCAGCTTGATGTTCTGTCAGTGCGACAGGGCGATTTTCGCGAGGTAATGCGTGGAAACGACGGTCTTGGTGGCCTATTGCAGATAAGTAGGGTGAAAAGAAACGATTAGGCCGCCGATTGTCGCTGTTCTGCCCATTGCAGCTTGTCTGAGACACCATTGCTCTTCGTAAAAGTCTGACGAAATATGTTAATTGTAATCTAATCAACTTGAAAGCACAAGAGGCGAAAGACAACCCACAGCAGAGGCAACAGATCCACACGATATAATGCCGTTGTATTGATGGATTGGCGTGTTTTATGGCTGTTATTGCATTGAATGCACTTCTGAAGTTATTCGTTCCGTTACTAGTATCTCTTTATAGTGTGTGTTCTGCCATTTGCGTGGTGCATACACTTTCAATAACTTAGGGGTCGTTATGATGAAATTTGAGGATGAGGTTGAAATCGGTATGATCGCTTTTGTGTACGTTGAAGTTAATAGAATCGATAGGGCGATAACAGAGGAGGGACGTTGAGGAAGGAAGTAAGATATAGCCGGTCTTCAATACTAAGAGTTAAAAACACACCTAAGAATGACAAACAGATGCGGGCTCTAATATTATTATTATTACAAGCCATTTGTGCTACGATGCCGACATGCATGTGAGCGTTTACCGGACAGATTTCGGTCTTAGAGATTTCAAGTTTCTGTTTGCACTTAGGCTGAAGTTTTATTCGTAAAGAGGTATAGTTGCACATGCGGGCGTTTTCCTTATTTTATAGTATATTGATTCATCGAGCTTATTTGTTATAATTTCCAACTTTTACGAATAAAGTTTCTGGAATGTCTTAAGGACCTAGCTTGCAAACAAGCATAATCTGTTAGTGGTCTACTAGGTGTAGCTTATTCCGTAGCTAGCGCACGGTAAGTTTGAAAATTCTACTCCGTAGTGTAGCTGTTTTTTGCGTTGCTGTTGATTTAGCAAGAAATGCTAAGAACTTAGTAGGCTATTAAGCGTAGTACAACGCTTAACACTTCTTAACCTGAAATTAGTAGGCTAATTCACGTAATTAATATTTAGATTAAAAGTACTAGACACCGGAATGGACGCGCCTTAGTTGTTAGATGGCTAGAGTAGTATTTATACAAAAGTAAGTATTAACAATAAATATTCTAGCTGTCTACCTAACGTCCAAACAACTAGAGAATAAACGGCAAAAATAGTGCTAATAATTAAAAAAGCGGAACTAAGTGCGCTTATTAAAAATCTAGTCTAACACTATAATATAGTATACTACTATTATTTCTAGTATATAGGTTAATATAGTAATATAGTCGTTAAAGTTTATATTACTAGCTTAGTAATTATATTTATTAGGTTTAAATAACTTACTATGAATAAAATAAATACTTGTTTTAGCACTTAAGGGACTAACATCTAGTAATAGTTTAAAAGTAATAACTTAATTATAATATTAATTTATTACTTAAACCAAAAGTTAATTTAAATAACAAGTGATTAATAATAAATACTTACTTAACAAAGACTATAAAGCCTAGCTACTTGATTCAAGCTTTAAAATAATAGCTAGTTTTTATTAGTACTTTATAGTCTATAACCTTACTTGTTTATTATAAAAACGGATTAATAATTTCTATCGTGCTAATTAAGCGCGTTTTAATTAATAACTTACTAAAACTATGTATACAACTAATATACTAAAGCACTTTAAAAGGTCAAAATGTATAAGCGGTATAGTGTGTTGGTTTTATACAACTAGGTTATTATATCTTATACCTTTGATAGACTATAGTTTTATTGTATTGCTTGCCTATAACTTATTTACTATATAAAGATAATAATAACATTACTTAAAAGGCTAGCCGATTTTGTCTAGCTGAAAACAAGATATAGCTTTAAGAACGTATTAAGAGCGAATAAAGAAAAAAAGCTAATTTTTTTTTGGATAGGAACTATAGGTAGTCTTTTTTGTATCTTTATATAAATATTTAACGGATAGATTGTATCGACTAGTAACACCTAATTATAGACGGGTAAAGGCGAGTCAGTTATGTTATTTATTAAGCTAGCGAGGATGCATTGAAATATGCACTTCTATATTAAGAGAGTGTAAAAGATAGTTAGTACAACATTGACGATATTAAATTTGACCGCTACTTAGCTACATATTGTCCTTACATTCTCGTGTAAGACAGAGTACACCGCGGCAGCTAAGGACATCGCTAAAGGATCGGATACAAACGAGAGTCTGTGATACGGAGTATTACTCCGTCAAATTTGCCGCCTGTCAGATACGGGCTGCGCGTAAGATACAGAATTCATTTTTCAGCGAAGCTTCATCCGAGAGCGGCAGATATGACGATGGACTTATATCACCAGGCCTTGCCTTTGAAAATATGTTGAGAGAGGCACAACCATTAAATTAGTTGCTCCCGTGCGTTAGTTTTATGGGCCGAAAGTGCTCTGTCTGCCTGGATTAGCTATAAGGGCATATACTAAATCAATTGTCACATACAAGGTTGTTGATGTTTATGATGGTGACAGATGACAGTTGCAAGCAAGTTGAACAAATACGCTGCTCAAGATTTAATTGCGTTTATTTAGCAGGTATCAAACAGGTTCAGCTGGAACGGTGCCGATCTCGGTGCTTGGCATCTTGCCTGCTACCGTCCCTGTACCGCCTGTAGTCACGCAGCTCGTCTCGCTTCGGGCTCCGACTGCGTTCCCCATATCGCCTTACAGCCCTAGAGCTATTCTTATCGCCATCTCGTCTCTCGCCCTTGGCATCGTCGCCTCGCCAGCGCCTGTCATCCTCTTTCCTGTAGCTAGGCTTGGTTATGCTACCGCCAGACTGGAGACCCTTTGGCGTCACATCATGGACAGACGCTCTCTTCCCACCAGATGATTTGTCATGTTGATCCTTGATATCTTCTTCTCCATGTATCATTTCATAGGCTGGTCCGTCATCTAGATCTTCACTGCGGTACTTGCGCCACTTTTCCAGCTCTTGCACGCCTCCCCAGCCACCGCGCCCCCTGGCTTGCTTCTGCCGGTTCATATTTGTATAACTCTTCTCCACGTATCGCTCAGTTTGCTGACACTCTGGCTAAAATCGACGTGGATTCGACGGTCGTCTATGAGAACGTCTTGCATTTTAAAATAGGCCGTTTCGCAAGCAATTTTGTCCTCGAACTCGATAAAAGCATATTGAAGACTGTCGCCTGTTTTAATGTCCCGAATAACCTCGCATGAAAGGACTTTCCCGAATCGGCTGAATATAAGTTCCAAATCCGAATCCTGGGTAACCGGATTGAGCTTGCAAACAAAAAGAACATTTTCAGGCGGTTTAACTTCAGCAAATGGCAGGTCGCCCATCATTTCAAGTGTCAATGCTTGTGCCCGTGCTTCTCGCTCCCGCCGCAGCTTCTCCTTTTCCGCATTCGAATCTTTATCGGTATTGGCGTCCACGAACACGTCTTTTTGCTCGTCATCCGCGAGGCGAACCGTCGCAAGTTGGGCTCGAGTTGGATGCGGAGAGGCGTCTGGTTCCTGCAAACCAGCCGGATCTGGATACGGATCATCCAAAATCAAAGTATGTTTGATGCGTACATCTACTAAGGGGTACCCATTGCCATCAACGAGAGTTTCATTGATTCTTTCCAAGACATCGTATCCTTCCACGACTCGGCCAAATATCGCCGATTTGCCATTCAGATAGTCGGTGTTGTCTCCGAGCGTAACAAGGAATTGGGATGCCGCAAGACGAACGTTTGGATCCGACGGGTGAGGAACTGTAGCCATACCAACAGTCCCTCTCTCGATGTGTTTCAATTTTGGGTGGAAAAACGCAGGGAACGTTCGTTTAGATGGGTCGGAGGAGAGGAGACCCCAAATGGAAGTGCCTCCATCGGATTTGTTCGATAGCGGCCCAAGAGGATCGCCCGTTTGAAATGAGAAAGATTTCTGAACTGAGTGGACGGGGGAGAAATTGTAATACTTTATTTTGCACAGCTTGAGGAAGCTGATACGATTGTTAGGTGCAATAACAGTATAGCAAAAGCGAAATCGCAAGGAGACGTGGCATTACGTACTTTTCGCACAGTTTGGGGGCATAATCAACCAGAAGGTCAATAACTATGTCACCCTGGTTCGTCTCAAGGAGAACAGACATGATGCTGGGTCAAAAGAAAATGGCGTGAGGATTGAGGCTTGCCCACCCCGGTCCAGAAGATCGCGTCGCAAGTTAAGTTGGGAGCAATACTCCGTACGGAGTACTTATGAGATAATCGACTCGAAGAGTCACGTGCCCCCGCAGCTTAGCACGGATACCTATCATATAAGGCATTAAGTATCGAGAGTCACGTTTTACCCTCAAGACTAGATCGCTTGGCCTTTCGCCTCGCAGATTTGCGTGACGGGATCGTGATAGTGTACCGGTATTCGACTGAGAAGTAGCAAAAGAAAGCAGTTGGACTATGAATTGTTGTAAAAGAAGGATCCCTAAGCTTTGCCGCCCACAGTAGCACATGCATCTTTCTTTTGCACTATGCGGTACTCCGTAGAATCACATGCGGTAAAATGAAAGCCTAAAATCACCTACGGAGTAGTACACTGCCGTCATATCATCGGCGTTTTAGAACCTAGCACGGAATGCCGGCACGGAATACAGCTTGTGCCTCCTTCGGAATTTGGGTCAGCGCCGCGCCTTTACCCTTGGTAGAGCGGTGAGACTTATTGCAGGACCCCTGCCTCTCCCATCGCATGCCCCTAGGGAGGCGGGTTAGCTGTTGTCGCTTCAGCGGCGACGTTAAAACGAATAATATTAAAAATAGGAAGATAAGATACCATACTCCGTACTCCGTACTAGGTGTCCTTTGCTGACGTTTCTCCCATTCGAAACTTGGCAATAAGAGAGTGTTTCAGTACTGCGTACGAAGTACAATTATTGCATTTTGTCTGTACTCCGCACCTTTTTATAAACACAACTACAGGGTGTAATCATGTGTGATTACTCCGTAGGAGCCGAACTATTGATACGCTAAACAACGTGGGAGAGAGCAGCATTGGGCTACAGGAAGCCTCATAATCGAGAGAGTGCTGTCACGCAACTAAGCGTTGTGCTCTCTATTTCATATATTTGTTGTACCGTACTTCCTAGTTCACGGAGCATGCCGGCCACATGATAGAGACACCTTTTTATTTTCGTTTTTACCACCGCTGAACTCTAGGCTTTTCTACTGACGAGCTGGGAGGAGGGGCCTGTGTACACGTCCGTGCTGCGTGCTCGAGATGCCGGCTTTGTCTTCAATTTGTTGCGCGGTGGTGCACGGACCACCTTTAGTGTAGAGTCTTCAGCCCAGACTTCTTCTCTAGCTTCAGATAGCTATCTTCCTTCTGAATACAACGATCTTCGCCTCATCACAATTGGAATAGTTCCTTACTTTGGCTGAGTTTTAAAGCGAGATGACATTTACGAAGTGCTTTCTAGATTAGTTGATGTACACCGGTCAGCAAGCTGGCCACCGCGATCTGAGAAAATGTGTTCCACCAGACCAGTGCCCTTCATTTGTATCTTACACTGCAAGGTACTGACCGGCTTCGTTCAGGGCTAGTTAAACCTCGAACCCCCCTCTTGCTCTCTTAGTTTTTTCCTCTATTGCGTATCGCGTCGGACGGACGGACAAGCAATATAACCAACGAACTATCTAGTTAGGATGGACGGAGGAAAATATCACAGCATAGAACTTGTTTTTGTTGTATGGCCATCTGCATTAGGAGGCGGTTCCTCTTACTGTTTTGATTGGCTTTTGTGGGCCATGGCATGACACTAGAAGGTGCGATAAAAACTACTCTCGTTTATGTTACTTTAATTATCTACACATGTCCCTCGACGATAGACGCTGTCAGTTTTATTGCAAATGTAGGAACATTGGTATACTGTTCAATCTATTATTTTTTGCGGCTTAATCTGGACCACCGGGGGCTGTACCTTCACACTCGCTTGATTCCTAATATTTGAGACTAACTGTGAAACTATCTGTGTAAGGGTCCAGCCCAATGGGAGAAGTCACTGTTAGGTGAATCAAACTGGTTGAAAACTAAGCTGAAGAAGAAGAAAGATATTTATATAAGCAAGCCTACTTCCTTTCTTCTTAAGTAGCTCCTTCCCTCCCTTTATAATCTACAAGGTCCCTTCTAACTAGCTCTTGCTTCCTGCTTGTATAAGTTACCGGCAAGCATAGAGTAGAGTAGTTTGTAGCCAAAAGGTACAGGCTTAAGAGAGGGTAGGTGCTTCTTAGTTCTTATATTAATTAAGATATCCTATTATAGTCTTTTATAGGATGCGTGGCAGGTTACGTAGCACGGCTAAACTAGTTATTATAGGCTAAGAATAAAGTTAAAGACATATATTAGGCTATAGCCTGTTATAATGGCCTTCTTTCTTCTTTATAAGGGGGGTATAGAAAGGTTCTTTTTAAATGCTTTGTAAGCGGCTATATTAAGAAGGTTTATTATTAGCTTTTAAGTAAGGCTTAAGTAAATTAAAGGGTTAATTTAACTAAGTATTCTTTAACGCTATAATTTAAGTTAGCGTTTAAAGGTAGGATAAGAAAAGGGTTAAAGTTAAAGGTAGTTTAAAAAAGAAAGAGGTTTTAGTAAGCTGTAAGGGTATTCCACACACGCGTCCCTACGCACCGGTTCGGCAACCAGTCGCTTACCAAGCGACGGACTTAACGAACTATCTTAACACGTTGCACGGGACTAGCACAGCCACTTAGCTGTGCCACGCCCCACTAGGGTTGCGACACCGCATCTTCCAGCCACGTATAAATTAGCTGGCAGGCCTTCGCCTACCAGTCTCCCATAGTCCGTTAAGTTGAAGTCTTAATACAACAGTATAAACTAGTTAAGCCTTCGTGACCACGCATTGCACACCAACCCTTATAAGATTTTACTAGTGCTATTTCCTACTTTTATCTATCTAACTAATAAGAGGCCGCTTTGCTAACATTAGTTAGAACGGTTATAGTGCGCTTTATTCTAGAGCTTTATATAACTTACTTTTTAGCTTAATTCTTATAAAGTGGGCAGTTTTTATTATCTTTTAAAAGCTATATTAATACTAGGTTTAAAAGTTTTATACTTTTAAAAGGCTCTTAATAAAATGTTGCTATTTTATACAGTATTTTTCTACTATCTATATAGTGAATCTACAAATAATAGATAAAGTATATTAGTAAGCGTATGCTAACAAGTTTTATTAGTTTATATACTAAAGTATTTTCTACTAATGTCTGCTTATATATTACTCTTATTAGTACGCTATACTGCTAGCGCTATTATTACTTATATTATATAAGCATTATTATACTATTATACTATTTAATAAATAATATAAAATATAAAATTAAATAGTGTTAAGATCTTACTTTTATAGCGCTTATTCTAGATTTTTCTGCCTTTATAGTCTTTATGCTTTCTTTTAGCTTTGTATAAAGTATAGAGTATGTTATACTGTTAACCTAAGCAGCGCTAGCAATAGCACTACTGTTTGCGCAGAGTAGCCCTTGCAGTACTATAGATTCTAGGCGGTAAGCTTAAAGGCCCTACCTAATGCACCTTACTGCTTATTAGCAGACTTTCTGTGCAAATAGCAACTCTCTTTAAAAAGTCAGCTTTTTAAACAATATTATTTATACTATAATAATAAAGGGTTTTTTTTTTTTGGAAACGTTTAAAAGCCTTCTTCGTTGTTGTCGTCTAGCAGTGTACCAGTTAAAGGGCACTCTCCAGCTAAAGAAAAGAATTCAAAGTACTCTTTTTGCTCCTTGCTATCCTCTTCCTAAGAGCATAGTAGCTTTTTAGCGTCAATAGCAACTAGTCTCTCTACTTCTTCTTTAGACAGCTGAAGGCGTACAAGTGTCAAGCATTGGAATCCGCCACACTGTGGCCTTTCCGCCCCACTTGGCCGTACGGGCCTGTGATTGGTTAGAAGGCACAAAAGCGGGGCATGGCACTAGTATTAATACGGATCCCCAGAAGGGTCGCGATGTATCTATTTCTTCCTTAGTACACAACACTCTTTCGCCCACACTAGACCCTATTCAGCCTCCTGCTCCTCACAGTGCATCACGTTATATGACCGCTACGTATAGCCTCCTTTAACCCTCACAACAAGCAGCAGGTTATAGTGGCCAACTTTAAACATAGCCGCCACACGGTCAGATACAGTTAGCTTGCATGCCACCATCTGAGATGAGAGCTATGCAATGTCTTGAAGATCCGTTATTTTTTTCATTTCGCCGTTTTCGTCGTCGGCGCGCTGGTAAAAGCAGTGGATTTTCACCGCTAGGGCGGCGTCTAAATTAAGCAAGGCCACGTCTCCCTGTAAGAATGTATGTTCGAAAAGATCCTCGTACGTCTTCTTAAGGACGACGTTCTTTAAAAAATCAATAGTCATTGGTTTCGAGCCTTGGAACATTAAGACGCCGCTTGGGGCGCTAAAACCATCGATGCGTAGAAGATCTGTGTGTAGTGTGTGGGGATCGACGCTGGCAGCCAGCAAAAGGTCGATGTCACTGGTAGTGCGATTGCTTCCGGCTAGTATTCCGCCAGCGCCGCCTACTAAAATAAAGGCATGGTTTGCGTTTTGCCGAATCGCCGTTAAGCATTGACGGATTGTCTCGTTTTCAAGGTCCGTTGACATTATTCTCGCGGGTTGCAGTATGGCTTGAAGATGCTAAAAGTTTGTAAGAACATAAGCCGTGGTTGAATCATTTATTATGCCCACCCCTTACACCGCCTTAAGTCGCTCTATGCCCAATTAAAGAAATACAGGCCTTATTTTGCCTTACACCATAGTTTTACTCCATATATCTAGCTTTCTCGCGCTTGCAGCGCAAACATAAATTGCATGCTTTAATATAGCCGCAACACGCCTAACCCAAATCTTATTATACGTTAGCGAACAGGGCTAAGGCCATGGTAGGCATTTGGCTCTCTATATCGCTAAATTTGTAAAGAAAACATAAAAAAAATAAGTAGAATAAACGGGCTACTTAAGGACAAGCGGGTAGGTTTGGGCGCCTACGACGTGTGCGCAAGCACGGTACGCTTGCTTTAAATATAAATAATGTTAGTCTTATATTTCAGCTAAGACTTTTAAAAAGCCGGGGTATCTTGGGTCTTAGTGTCCACGCATAGACTACGAAGGTCCCTACCAAAAGTCATGCCTACCCCCCCACACCGCCTTAATTAACGCTATGCCTAATTAGGAAATTTACAAATTATCGTCACCAGCCCGCTACTTCTTTCTTCCCTCCTTATATTCATTACCACCTTCCAAAGCAATCACCTGCTGAATATGCCACGGTATCCTTTCAATCCAGCTCCTTATTTGCTCCTGTGAAAGGTTTGCCTACACACGCCGCCAGTCCGCTTATGCCTGGCTTTTTTATTTCGCAGCGCTGTACTTTGTAGTTAGCCTTTTTAAGTGCATCTAACATAGCTTAATTATATTCAAATCTGGTGAATTTAGGCACTAAATTAGCGTTTGAACGTTAGCTTAGTTGTATACTAAGTCTTAAAAGGGGTGCGTATAAGAAGAGGCTTTGTCTTCTTGTACTAAAGCGTCTAGACCGTACTTGCGCGCAAAAGGAATTAGCTTTAGTAAAATTACCTACTTTTAGTAGCGATACTAGTCAACTCCTTTACCGTTGCCTTGTGTTATCTTTCCTGTAGCCTTTGTAAACTTCTACGTTAGCTTTTTCCCTCCTAGATTTTGTAGCTTTAAGCGGCGTAAACTAGTCTTTAACTCCTATTATATCCGCAACTTTGGCTTAGCTTCTTCGTTAAGCAAAGTTAGCTCTTTTATAGCTTGTACTTGCTTTTTTGCAGTCTTTAGTTGCTAAATATAAAACAAACCTTTGTAATTATAAGAAAAATAGCCCTAAAACATAAACTTTGAATATCCTTTCTACCTCTCTTAAACACAAGACTTTGTAAATCGTTTATCTAGAGTCCTTTAAACTTTATAGCTTTCTTGCTAATAAGAAAGTACAACAGATGTTTTATTAAACTAAATAACCTGCTTTTAATCCTTTAATGTCTAGTCTTTATGTTTTAAGCACTATTAAAGTCGAGCTTGCTTTATTAACGCAAATAAGCTAGGCTTTTATGTTGGTTTTGTTTTTTTTAGTCTAGCAGCGCAAAGTGTACGCCATACCGTCATTGCTAAAACGTTGCCTATTTCGCGTGCAATATAAGCACATGTTTTTTCTCTTCCATATCAGTTAATACAGACCTTTGCAAGCACATCTTCTTTAATCGCTTCTTGCTTTCAAGGGCGGCCAGATTGATTATCGCCTATAACATAAATATCGCGTATAATTAGAGATTATGCTTTCGGATTAAAGCCGCGTTTAATAGGTTTTTTAAGCAAGCGATTCACTTAGCGCAGCGGTATACCAGTATAGGCTTTAACCTGTTTATTAGAGGCGCCGTACACCTTTAAAGCAATTGCTTGCGTCCGAGTAGCGATATCGTAGGAAGGCATTGTTGTTGGTAAATTTGATTACAGAGTACTTTGCTATGGGCTGCGCAGGAAAGGGGTGCTTATTAATAGTACTGCCGGCAAAAGCTACTAGGGCGGTGTAGGGGGTTGGGCATAACTTTTGGTAGGGACCTCCGTACTACGCGCAGGTGCCTATCTAATGCCCGTTAAAAGATTAAGGGGTAACTCGATTCTTTTCTTCTATAAACTAACATGTTTAATAATGCAGTAGTTAAATCCTACGGAGGTCCATCCTAAAAGAAAGGGCTCACCGCTTTTCTATAGTGGTAGCAATATACAGTAATTATTATTATATATACGGAGAAAACCATTAGCAACAGCTTGCTAAAGCTTAGTAGACTACTTTACTAATTTGTTCTGCTTATTAATATAGCTACAGGGCTCCCAGCATATAAGACTGCGCTAATAAATTGGTGGTAAATACAGTGTTAATAAGTTAAACGTACTATTCACCTACTTATTTTGCCAAAAGCTGTGAGCCCTTTCTTTTGCGAGGGACCTCCGTATAATTTCTCTTATATTCTACCAACGCTATAACGTTCTTAGTTATTAGATGCACATCTTTGTACTGTGTACTATAGCTACATATCTCCTACTTTGTATCTATAGGCTATTGTAAACCCCTTGTCTTACTAGATACAAAAGCATACGGAGTACTTCCGAGCACCTTCCTTCTTAGCATGCATATGACTCCGTATACGGGGTACAATATTGAGGTCAATATACGGGAGGCCCACTAATGACACTGTAAAATGTGTAGATAAATAAGCATATACGATTGTAGAACTGCTGCTTTCGCTTACGACGTCGTAGCGTAACACGTCTACCTGCCTAAAGCAGACAAGGTTTAGTTAAGCGAGGGAAAAGGGGCCGGGGCATTCACCGCTGTGGGCCTTGTTTATTGGTAGTGTCCGATTAGAGATGTACGACACTCGTAAAAGTGCTTGTTTATCCGACCCTCTACGACGTAGAGATACATGTATATAGTTCCGGTTCTGCATTGCCTCTTCCCTTCGTTGTGGGCCTCTATCCTTTTTTTGGCCTCACCGTAATACTCGTCCTGTATTGGGTGTCTCCTTCTTTGTCTCTTAGGCGCAGCCTCCCTGATTCTTACTTCACCTTTGCCACAATCACAATGTTTTCCTTTCAACTCTTGTTCGCTTCCACTGTGGCGGCCCGGGTTATGCACAATCTTCCCGGCGTGCCCGATGGATGGAGCTTTGTGCGCGATGCCCGCCCGACTGACCGTGCCGCGTTCAAGATCGCTCTACGACAGCAGCATGCGGAGGAACTCGAATATCTTGTGCTCAACGTGTCTACCCCAAGCCACCCTGATTACGGAAGGCACCTGACTCGTGACGCCCTACGTGCCTACACAGCGCCGGCCGCGGATAGTATCGCCGGTGTCACTGCCTGGCTGAGCGACTTTGGCATTACGCCCACCATCGACAACGATTGGGTTATCGTTAAGACCACTGCCAGCCAAGCTGGTGCTCTTCTTGACGCTAAATTCGCCTGGTACCAACATGAAGACGGCGGCAGCCCAAAACTGCGAACGCTGCAGTACAGCGTCCCCGATAACCTTATCGCGCACGTCGATATGGTCCAGCCTACAACGCGGTTTGGTCAACTCGCGGCGCGTCGGTCGACGATCTTCGATCTTCATCCGGCTTCCAAGGACGAGGTCGCCGACATTGCGTCCACTGCTGATGCATTGGCGTGCGACTTTCGTATATCGCCTGCCTGTTTAAAGTCCTTGTACGGCGTTAACTACACTGTGACTGACACTACTTCTGACCGTGTTGCATTTGCCTCTTTCCTTCAGGAATATGCTCGCTACAAGGATCTCGCACTCTTTGAGTCGAAATTTGTTCCTAGTGCTATCGGCCAAAATTTCTCGGTCGAGCGTATAAATGGCGGCCTGGATAACCAGACTTGGACTGGTGATAGCGGTATGTTTTGACCTAGCACTCCTTGGCGCGAATTTTTCTAATATATTTTACTATTAGGTGAGGCAAATCTGGACGTACAGTACATTCTTGGCATTAGCTCGCCTATTCCGATCACAGAGTATAGTACAGGCGGTCTCGGGTATGGTATTCTAAACACAAATTGTCACGTTTAACACCGTTTATGACACTAACAGTTTAGACCGCTTGTTCCGAGTGCTGATGAGCCTACTGTGCCTGGAGACAACGAGCCGTATCTTGAGTTTCTGGCATATATCCTGGCTCTAGACGACGACAAGCTACCACAAACGCTGTCTACATCGTATGGCGAAGAAGAACAATCGGTTCCGCCAGAATTTGCCATCAAAGTATGCAACCTCTTCATGCAACTAGGTGCAAGAGGCGTTAGCGTGCTATTCAGCTCGGGTGATACTGGTCCTGGAAAAACCTGTGTACGCACCGCCGACAACAAGCCATATCTGCAGCCCACATTCCCAGCCGGTTGCCCTTACGTCACTGCCGTCGGAGCCACCTTTCAGCAGAATCCCGAGATCGCTGTCTATTTTAGCTCTGGGGGTTTTAGCACACTACATCCTCGTCCAGTCTGGCAAGATTGCGCTGTCAAGAAATACTTGCGCACCATTGGCGACACCTACTCGGACTTCTTCAACGCAAGTGGCCGTGGCATTCCCGATGTGGCTGCACAGGGCAATGATTTCTATGTCTACAATAAGGGCAGCCTTGCTCTTGAATCTGGCACAAGTGCTTCTGCGCCCGTCTTTTCGGGTGTGGTTGCGCTGCTTAATGCTGCACGCCGTTCGGCCGGTCTACCACCGATGGGCTTCTTAAACCCTTGGTTGTACCTTAACAGAGATGCTCTGACTGATATTACTGGCGGTTCCGGTATTGGCTGCAAAAACAAGACGTACTTTGCGTCCCCGGTATACTGGAACGCCACTGTGGGCTGGGATCCAGTTACCGGGCTGGGAACGCCAAATTTTCCAGCTCTCCTCGCTGCTGCTGCTCCCGGTGTCGAAAACGCTTAGTTGAGTTCCGGTAACGTATAGCTGAAGTTGCTGGATACGTATACGTAAAGAAGATAGTTCGGCTAGACTAGATTCATAGTATGCAAAACATAAAAGTCATCAAAAAAGCTGACAGAGACTAAAAAGTATTTCAGATCTCGGAATGTCTTTCTGCACGAGTGATGCCCACTCAGTACTCCGTAGGTCTCTGTAGCTTGTGATCGGTAAGTGGGACCATAGGGATTTGGGCCACCCCCCTATTTGGGCCACCCAATGTATCCTAATACACAATACTATTTACAAACTTCAACACGTCGTACGTCTACCAAAATCACTCCAATTACCTCCTTTTTTGCTAACAGTATTCATTAGACCATTATGCGCTAGTATACCGAAGAAGGAATCGCTATCATCACACCCGACACCGCGAACATCGTTGCGGAGAGTGAATAATACCACCATCACACCTGATGCGGCAACCAAGGTGTAACCGTCAAGACTACGGAGCACTACTACAGGCACGTCCACTTAAAACGATTCCCTGCAGAATAGTCCTGAGACCACCACCGTGCTGTACAATAGTGTTACCACAATCACTCCATTGCCCATCATCAAGACCATTATACACGAGGAGACTGCCTTGTTGATATTTACGAAGACAATCACGGCTAAAGGCTCCAAGGTAAAGGCGACGAGCACGGAAACGAGTACAGTTATAGGCAAAGCCGAACAGGCATCTACAATGACGCTGACCTTGGGAACAACCACAACGATCACTTACATTCCAACGCCAAGGTCTACGCAGGTAACAAGCACGACAGCAAGAACGCTTAGCACTGGCGGCACCACAACCACTACGGCCAAAACCACCACTGTGACTGTGACGACGGTTTAAACCAAGGTTAAAACGGTTAAGTCTACGACCACGTTGTCTTGCACAAAGGCGGCTAAGGTTAGACAGGCCAATCTGTCGGGCCTATCTGGCCCGCCGGTGGCTGCGCGGCAGGCTGAAATTAGTGCTTGTGCTTAGGTAAACATTACTACTTTAAGAACTAGTAAAGCGCTCTAAACAATAACGACAGTTATAAAGACACAGACCGTCATTATAGCCGGGTCAAATTACGAAACAGAGGTGAAGGCAGCGAACACCAAAAAAATGACGACGCTAAAGTTAATTACCGTCTCCGTAACAATCGCGAGCGTTGCAACGAAAGAAATGACTGCTACCCTTAAAGACCACATCCGTTGATACCACAAAGACGCCTGCCGCGATTCTGCTGTCGACTTTAGCGGCATCGGAAAACGAGACAGTCAAGATTACACTAACTACGGCCAGGCCGACCGTCACCTTGATCAAATCATTACGCCTACCTTGGGACAGAGTGTTACTATTACTTTGCAGTTCACTTAAAACACTGTTAACCCCACGGTCTGGTTAACGACCACAAAGAAGAGGTTGGGGGCGTGCACAGCTTGAGTACGATATCGATTCTCAGCTAATGTGCAGCCACCCGGAAAAAAACTTGGAGGAGAGCTATTGAGTCTTTTTCAAGACACTATAAAGGAAATGCATGTGTCTTACCGCCTATAGTTCTGGGCCCTGGCCCATGATAGGTAGAAGCCTAAGAAAGGATTGCAAGTGTTGAGCTGTGCGTAAGTGGGACCATGGGGATTTGGGCCACCCCCCTATTTGGGCCACCCAAAAATCGTGATAATTTAATAGCATTAAAAAAATACAAAAACAAAAACAATTATAGCAATTGCAATACTTAACCAAATCATGCAAATTATATATCATCTGAAAGCTCTCCTTCAGAGCTATCGTCTACTTCAATTACTTCTCTTCCTGCGGCGGCCTAGCTATTTTATATGTCCTTAATTATAGCGAATTTTAAATTTAGGCTTATAACTACGGCCTTCCCTTTCTAAGGCTATAGGCTTTTAATCGTTGCCTTTAAAACTTTTATTTTTCGCTTAGATAGAGATCTTTTAACTACCTTTTTATTAAATGCTTTATAAAGCTTTTAAAATAAAAGCTGCCCTAAAGATAATATAGAATGTAATTGCTAATATTTAGCTAGTTAGCTAGTTAAATTGTTTCTCTTTCTAGGAGTAGTTTATACAATCGTAGCAGCTTAAAAAGTAGTATCTTTTAAAGCTATAGTTTTATTAATTCTAGTAATATTAAAATTGTTTAGTATAGATAGCTAGTTGTTAAGATTTAGTAAGATAAAAAGGCTTGTTAATAGGTAAAGCTTATTAATTAGCTATAAACTAATAGTGCGCTACCTACTTTAAATGTTTTTTAAGGAAAGTGCTGTATTTTAAGCTAGTTTATAAGCTTATAAAAAGGCTTGCGTATTAATAATTGTTTTTATATTACTATCTTTTATTAAGCTAGCTTATTTTTAGTACTTATTTTTTAATAAAGAAAAGATTAATAAATTAAGTAGTTAAAGAATGTAAGATGTATAAAAAGGTAGATAAATTAAGTAAATGTTATACTAAAAGCATACATTTATAAATCTATCTATTTTATAGCTTTTATAGCTATCTACTACTAATAATCTTATATTAAAAAAGACATTTAAAGCTATCTATAAAATAAAAACCTTTTCTAACTATTTAAACCTTATTTTATTTAAACTTTAGCTTTAATTAGTAGCTATAAATTGCTAGTCTTTATATTAGTTTAATTTAAGACTAAACTACTACTACTATACCTTTTTACTCTTAAAAAAAAAGATGCTAGAACTTCTAGCAAAGACGTACTTTACATATAAAGTCTATAATTAATAATTAACGTTTTTCTTTTAAATTATAGCTATATTTTATCTTTTAAGCACTTATTAAAAGTCTTCGTTACCTTAGGCTAGCCTAGTTTTATTTATATTTTATTTATTTTATAGTTTTATTAATACTATAGTAAGAACTAAAAGCTAGTAAAACTATATACTAATTATATTAGTTATAGCTTTATTTAAGCGCTTAGAATTAAAAGATTTACTTTTTTAAGCTTAAATTATAAGATTTTACTTTAAAAAAGCATATAGCTAGTGTTGCCTAAGCAGTCTTGCGTCTTTATTACTAAGCATTATAACTTAAGCTATAGCCTTAACTTAAGAGTAAGTAAGAGGCACTTTAATAAAGCCTTAAACGTAAATCTAATGCGTTAGGTGCTCTTCCTAAACTTTAGAAAGCCTTTACTAATCTTAATAAGCGTTATAGTAATTTTAGTAGCTAAGTAATCGATTTTAAAGCGTTAATCGCAGTATGCCGTATTTAATAGCTGCTTTTTAAAAAGATACGCTATTATTAAGCGATTTAAGCGCGTTAGCGATTCCTTCTTCGGTATACTAGCGCATAATGGTCTAATGAATACTGTTAGCAAAAAAGGAGGTAATTGGAGTGATTTTGGTAGACGTACGACGTGTTGAAGTTTGTAAATAGTATTGTGTATTAGGATACATTGGGTGGCCCAAATAGGGGGGTGGCCCAAATCCCCATGGTCCCACTTACGCACAGCTCAACACTTGCAATCCTTTCTTAGGCTTCTACCTATCATGGGCCAGGGCCCAGAACTATAGGCGGTAAGACACATGCATTTCCTTTATAGTGTCTTGAAAAAGACTCAATA